CAATTTTGGTTGCGGTCCTAACTGTTAAAATCAAAACCACATTTTCTGGAATTAGACGAGATGAAACTCTATCGTTTGAGATGAGTACCCCGACATTTGAAACTTTGCTCTCATCTCTTGAAACTATATGACAGAATATCCAGGTTTACCCTTTAAACCATGTAAAAAACTTGTTTACACAGTTCAAACGCGCTTAATAATTTTTTTTTTGCTTTTTTCTCATGTTTTTACCTTGTCAAGGGAAAATGAACTTTCTATGTTGGACTTATTTCCCTAGCTGCATAGTTTTTAAAATTTTAGTTGAAATGATATTATGAAATAGTTGGTAAAACCACTTCGATAATTCATTGAGAATTTTGCTAATTACTTTTTAAAAATTAAAGCTAAAAACAAGTGCTTTATAGTTCTAAAATTTAAAGGTCTAGGGCTACAAAAAGTATGCGTAAGTTAGTGAGGTAAAATCAAAGGCTACACTTTAAAGTTGATTCAATTTATCATAACAGAAGTCTGGATTTATGTCAACAACTGTTCAAGAATATTTGGAAAGTTATTTTTTACTGTCTTCTGCTTCTTTACAATTCAATTAGTTCATATATTCTCCTGATACGTAACAGCAAGATGTAAAAAAACTCTCAGCACCCTATCCTTAGTTCTATATCAATCCTTATGATCATCATTCTGGATACCTTAAGAGAATAGGGGTTTCCTATTTTATTAATTCAAACCGGTTATTGGTCAGAGAAGCAACATAAAAAATTACTTCTTTGAAATAAAGAAGAGGGTTATGATGACTTCAGCTCTCTTAAATTCACTTTTTAATTTAGAAATGCCTTTCAAACAATTCTCCCTAGTTTTAGCATGGAACAGGTGTGGAGTGTGGACAAATACTCTTTAGAGCTCTAGCACCAAACATTGGTATGAAAAATACATTCTAAATCCTTATAGATTATAGTCTAAAAGGCATGTTTAACTTTTAAATTGGATATATAGAGTAAAAAAATAACATTCTTTAGACATATCACAGTTATATGTTGAGTAGAAACATAAATATTTTGAGATTTTGAGCTTGATTTTGATATTTTTAGACCCTCAAGAATGGTTAAATAGCAATTTAGGCTTCAAAACGAATTTCTATGTCAAAAAAAAACATTCTTCAGAAATATCATCACTATAGTTTCAGTAGAAGTAAATATTTCCATTTACTGATAGCGCAGATTGAAGGATTCATAACTCTAATTGGATAATGAGATAGATAGAAAGATAGATATTACCGCCATACTATTTCTATTTGTTCAGAATAGACAACAAACACATGACTTAACCCTGATTGGACCAGGCTCTAATGTACTCGGCATACAGGAGATGATAACTTGAATGTGTTGGCTTAAAACATAAACATTTTGATATTTTTAAGTTTTTGAAGCCGCTAAAATGCATTAACTTAATAGAAAAATGCAAATTTAATGATTTCCGAAATTTGTCGGTCTTTTTGAGAAGAAGTCCGATTTCTACGATTTTTTTTATGGAAGCTACTACAAAATTTTAAATTTATTTTACGAAAGAGAAAAATTGTTTTAAATAGCTACAATATTTTTTTTAATTAAACCCTTTTTTGGTCTTTTTCTACCCATAAAAAACTTTCCAAGTAAATAATTGTTGCATATTAGGAATTCAGAACTTTTCTCCTCAATAGCTCTTCAGACAGAGGAGCTTTGTAATTAAACCTTGAGGACAAAACTTTTTACTACACTTTGTTTATATTTAAATATAGTTTAGTCTATTCAGAGTAGAAGTAAGAAAAGGGAAGGATTTGTTTCAATAAAAGGCTGAACCAAAATTCAATAAAAAATCGATTAATAATATTTTTATTTCTAGCTACTGTTTCGATCTGGATATAAATGGTGAAAAAAAAAAATTCTGAAAACTTTTTTTCAAATTGTGGTTTCTCTACAAAAATGGCTTGTACATTTCTACGTTGCAAGCGTCGCAAGAAAACATATAATTATCAGAATTAAATATTTTTAAACCTAGAATAACGAGAAATATCTTCCATAGTTTTGATCAGATAAAGGTTTCCAGGGTACCATTTTAAATCGGGCAATTTCACCATCTTGCTTGAAGGGTCGCTTGAGAAATCACGCTTACAGTAATGGTCCATATTTCACCCTTTCTTTTAGCGAAAGATTTCTTAAGATGGAATCCAGGTTTTAAAACAAGTTTTTGTTCTCTGGCCTCACCCTCTGCCCTGAATGAATACCGGAGAAAGGTTTGTAATTAATAACACCAGAGAAATTCATTAATCCCCTGAAGATATGATGTCATCAGAAAGCAGTTTTTAGTTTCCTCTCGAACTTTTTCCAATGAATCTTTATTTAGAACAAATCGTGGAAGTTATTGCATAACTGTCAAGAAAGATACTTTAAAAACTATAAAACATAAAGAAATGCTTTGGAATATTTTTTGGCAGCTTGCATTGCATATTTAAAGAAAATGGAAACCTGGTGTAAGACAAAAATTGCTCAATTCAAAACATTTATATTTGTACTTTCTTCCACTTCCTTCTATGCTTGTTACATATTGGATATTACCAAGACTTTAATAAATATATAAAGAGAGAAAATCCTGAGAAAAGTTGTCCTAAGATTTCCAACGGTTTTGCAGAGAATTGTGTTTTTATGCTCGTATTTTTTTCTATGAAGTAATTAGAAAGAGGTCTGACCGAACATTCTATTCATTATTTATAACAAGAGAGATATTGGTAAAAACTTTCAAAAGTAAAGTGTAAACTCTGTTTTTGGACTTCTCAAATTAGGACCAAGAGAACTAAAAGAAACTTTAAAATTGATTTTCTGTTTTCTACGAGATGAAACCGTTTTAGATATTTTAGGCCTGTATGGTAACTGTAGAAGGGATACATGAACGGGATCACCTGTCACCCTCTTTTCTCCAAAAAAATGGTACAGAGAGGCAAATAACGCTAATTTTTCTACATGTAGTGTATAATGTATACACTTTATGGCCTAACATTGGGCGACGGTTTTCAGTTTTCACTATTCATGTCTCGGTCCAAAAAAATGAACCTGCGTATTTATGCGTTTATTTCTGTACTTTTTAAAAAAAACTTCTAACGTTTTCTTCGACATTGCGAAGTCAGATTGAACGCTTTGATATATGTCTGACGATTTGCCTCAGAACTTGTACTGTAATACATTGAGGGCTTATTCATCTATTTTAAAGATTCAATGAATTTAAACGAGAGCCTCTAACTTAAATAACTTAAAATAATAATATGGAAAGTTTTCTTAAACTATGAAAATATGCATATATTTTTTTGAAATAGCAAAGAAATATTCAAACATCCCTGAAGCTTTTAAATTGAAGATACATAACAATAACAAAATAGGGCAATTAAGAGATATTTAAAAACGTTTTCTAGAAACACTTAAATACTGAAGGTTTATGTATGTGTATTTTATATTTCATTTTAGTTTTTGTTTTCATTAACCAGAAGTACAAAGGCCTTTGATAAAATATCTGTTTATGTTGCACTAACAGAATAAAAAAATGTATTCACACAAAAATGAGTGACGTCCAAGAAAACTATTTTGTATTTTTTTTTTACTTATACATAAAACACACATTTAGATTAAAATAATGATATATTCTAGTTAAAATAAATATCTATTATATAAACATTTTACCCACATTGAGTTGGAGGAAGCCTGGCTTTAGGTTTAATATAAACAGTAACTGAACTTTACAGTGTACTTAGAAACAAAAAGGGATTTTTTAATCTAATTTAAAATTACCTTTCATTTAAAGATTTTCCCTCAATATAGGTAAAAATTTCCCCCCAGCATATAAAGAAATTTTGGTAATTTTCATGTCATAAACTAATAGATGTAAGGTACTTTCCCATTTCCCAAGTGGCAACTTCTCAAGGGCGTTTTCCCAAGTGGAAACTTCCCAAACGTGCAATTTCCCAAGCGGCAACTTCCCAAGTCTGTCCTAGTCGCAGCGATAAACGTTCCCCTCCAAATTCTTTAGAGTTAAAGGGTTCCGTTGTGCGTCGGGCATGAACGCTTTTAATATAAGGGTCACCGGAAATAAGCCGAAAGTCCTATTAAAGAAATGAAAAGGCTTTCTTCCTTTTTCTATCTCAGCAAACGTTTAAGCAGAACGGGTGGAAATCGTAAATGGCCGGCCCTCTTATTGAAGAATTCTTTCAAATATATTAAAAAAAAACTTACAAATTCAAAATTCATTTTCGAAGCAAACTTTAAAAAAAAACAGAAATCAACTACGACAGTCACGCTGTTGTAGTTGTACAAGATTCACCGAATTGAGGTGCACGCGACACTTATCTGGGACGAGACTTAATGAATAGCTAGGAAGATCTAGTTGAACCGGTTCAAGTTAAAGAGAAGTGGTTCAAATCCTTCACACTATTAATTTAAACTGAACGTAGACTAAATTCATCCTGGTTAATAGGGAATAAACTTACTACTTAGTCAAACTTTTATCTATTATTTAAGATTCATTAAGAATATCGTAAAAGGTTTGACATATCTTCAAATGTCAAAAAAACGTACACAATACTATTAAGTTGCTGAAAATTGATTCGAACGTAAAACATGCCTGCCTCTTAACCCATGCGTCTAATTTACCTCGAAACTTTTGACCTACACACTACTCATCTGTTTTTAGAATTCGGAATTATGGATTTTACCGGCAGTCCAGGAAACATAAATTATAAATAATAAGTAAAATGTTCTACATGAACTTCAAACTGGTTTCAATAATCATTATGCCAAAAAAATTAAGTTAGCCGAGATATTTATAAAAACTTGTTTATGTGTGTATAGAACAAAAAATTCGAACACATACTTTCATTTAATAATAATTTGTTTTGAACCTTACGATCTATTTGTTTGCATTTAAAAAAAAGAATATCTAAAAACTACGGAAAAAAAACATTGATAAATTGATTGATTAGTTACCTGTTTGTTCTCCCTAATGCTTGTATACAATTTATCTTAGATCACTTTGGTTTCTTCGGTCTCATGACCGAACACGAATGATACTATTTACTGGTAGAGGCAGACCGGTAAAGTGACAGTATCTGCAGCCGACCGACGGTTATTGTTTTAAAAGTTTAAAATATGTTAAATGTATTCAATTTCATTGTCCCTTAAACTATTGTCAATTGTTTTTTTTAAGTGCTGCCCAGACCTGATTTGTTTCTATTTTAAGCTCAGGTCTAATGGAGGCTGCAGGCCGGGTGTTGGTGGAGGCTGGATCCAGGTTCTGAGGCCGCCACTAACTCCTCTAACAAGGCCAAAATACCTAACTTATCAATCAATGCACAGACATTGAATTCAGGAGCGTCATAAGAAGGGGGAGGGAGGGGCATTACCAGGGGGGGGGTATCAGAAGAACTCATCTTATACTACATACTTATATGTTAAGAGGACACTGTTTAAATACTCTAAATTGCGGACAATGTGTATTATGTCATACTTTACAATTTATTCATTGTATAAAAATTGATAAATAGGTTAATTACCATGCAAGATGATTTTATGGATTTTAATTGTTTCCAATATTACTTGGTACGTAAAACTAATTACAACGAAGTTCATCCTTTCTGTTTTGGAATATTTTCATTCAAAATCTGAAAACAAAAGCGTAGAAGACTTTAAATACTTAAAATTTAAAATGCATAGCCTCACAAAAAATTTTGTTATGACAAATACGAAAAATATACATTAATGGGTGAAAATTGGTTCTTAAGTTAACCAGGAACTCTAGTTCACCCAAGGAGATATTGAATAGAAGGAGGGGGCGATAGGGTTTCCGTACACTTTGCTGTGACGTTTTTGGACTACTGAAGAACTAGTTTTTGCGTAACAAAAATAATAAAGATTGTAAACAATAACACAAATGATAAACAGACATCTGGCGCATCTGACGAGTTAGATGAACTTTCACAGTTTACTAACTCATGTTTGTTTACATTAGATCGGCTGCCTTTGTTATTGTTGTTACGCACAAACTAGTTCTTCAGCAGTCCAAAAACGTCACACCAAAGTGTACGGAAACCTTATCGCCCCCTCCTTCTATTCAATATCTCCTTGAGTTCACCCATGGGTTTCTGACCATTTACTGCAAATCCTTTTCATATTTTGACTTACAGATCTTTTGGAAATTATCTTTTTTAGATACCATGATTTGAGATAGTTTTTTATGTTTCTTTTCTTCTGGTATAACAAAAAATAATTGCGTTATTATTGATTATAATGGTTTGATCAATTATCATCGTGGAGAAATGAAGCAGAGAAATATGTTTTTAAAAATGCGGAAATAACATCTGCTTTATTTACAGCCTGATTATTTTCTTACTTCAGATATCGACTTCTTGGGGGCCTAAAAAAGCTCTTTATTTGATTTTTGATGGAATGCTTTTTTATATTAGTTAGAAAGGATTTCTTTCACAAAACTTTTTCAGAGGGAAACGCAAACTTTTGTTTGCGTTGCGAAACACATTTCGCGCAAAAATATTGCAGAATTCTGTTTTATACAATTTTATTTATCAAATTCGTAAAAAAACAAATTTCATAGGAATTACGGTGTGTTTTGAATACTGCATTTTAATTTACGAGACTGTACTTTTTGTTTGTATTCACAAAAGAAAAGTAGATAAGTTGCCCCCAATTCTTAAATCTTTGCAACCTGATGACATATGTCCGTAAAGTGCATGACGTTTGTGAAAAAATGCGTAAAGGGCTATTTTTTGCGCAAATGTGGTTCGCAACGCAAACAAAAGTTTGCGTTTCCATCTGAAAAAGTATCAATCGATCGGAAATGTTCCAAAGATATCAAAACTGTACACTTTTTTAAAATTGAACCATAGTGATGTCTTAAAGATTGTTTTTGGACACAATGTAGATATGCATTCATATTTAAAACTGTGATATCGGCAAAATACTGTAATTAAAGTTTAACATATTAAAGGTTTAGCTCATTAGATATTGTAAAGAAATTTAGAATTTAAGTCGGGTAAATCAGTTTCTTTCCTAAGGGTAAATAGTGTGTTTAGACTTCATCCCAAAAAAATGAAGTGAATTAAGTATTTATTCACTTCGAAAATATGCAAAACATTAAGACTTTAATTGGAAATCACACAATGAATAATTCAAAGGAAACTCGTCGAATCCAGTACGTCAAAACGACTAAACCGATTGGACCCCATTTTTGTGAAAACGCACACAGGCTCATCACATTGAAAAAAGCAAATTTTTGGAAAAAACAATTTTGAAATTTGTAAATTTCTCAGATTTTTGTGTTATTTCCCATCACTAGTTATGCCATTGTGCTAAAGAAAATGAAAATATCTTATTTCAATTTTAATTGCAGATTGGGCATAACAAAATTCTCCTACTTCGAAAGTTCGAACTTCGCAGACCCCCCCCCCCCCCCCCGTCAACTAAAATAGGCCAATTTTAATGCGATTTAGCAGTATTTTGCCTGAAACTTCCCAAAACTAATATAATAACGAAACCCAGCGTTTAAATCTTTAAATCCAGGGCTTAAATTAAAATTTAAAACTAAAATTGAATAAGCAAGTAAGACGAGTAAGACCAAGAGCCAAGCATGGCCTGATGATACATAAGTCTTGTCTCATAGCGAGCTGGTGCATGTAACAAAGAAATGTAAAACAGAGTTAAAAATTTCTTTATATCCCGGAATAAAGCAATTTATCGTAACTATTGGTATCATTGGTACGAAGGATTAAAATTAATTCCTTTAGGATATCATGTGGTCAGAAGCCATGTCGGAAATAATTTTAAAGTGTTCGCTGTGGATATCGATTTCATGTGTGGTTAATAGGTTATATGGACTTTTTAACTAAAAAAGGTTGAACCGTTGTACGCGTTGAGATAAAATTAATTAATCTGCAAATCTACAAATTATAATCTATATAATAAAGCTCTTGGCTTATATACAGGGTGTCCCGATAAACATGGGAATTCAGTGACGAATTCGATATCGTCTTTGTAATGAATTAGCATTGTAATACCTGATTTCAGAAGCCATAATATAATATATGTATTCCATGTTTATTGGGACACCCTGTATAGTGTATATACATATAAATATATATATTTATATATGTTAGCTAGCCGGCCAAACGGCTAGACCAAATGTGCGAATTTTTTCACCTTCAAAGTCCACTGAGTCCACTGAGTCCACTGAATCCACTTCTTTTCAAAAATTGAAATTCTTTGCTCATATGTATACATTTATATATTAGGTATAGCTAGCCAAACAGCTGGACCAAATATGCCGAACTTTTTTGAGGGAACTCGTTGCAGGTACCCCAGGGGTGACATAGGCTTAAACAAACATTATTATCGATACTACACCCAAAGATTATTTTGGAATCTGTGCATTTACCAATTAGTTGAAACCCATACAATACAATTAGTGAAATTGAGGTGAAAAAATTCACTTATGATCATTTAAGAAGAAGAAACTTTAGTTTCTTTAATTAGTTTTTATACATACTTGGTGAATGTCGTGTAATACTAACTTCATCAGTTTTGAAATCCAATACATAAACTTATATTTAACAGTATTATCAATATACGATCATCAACAAAACTAAATTTATTATAATGAATCTGAACAGTACATTTACTATCTTTTCCATTCCTTATGGAAAAAGTAACATAATTGAGATTTAAATTCGTCTAATAATTATTATTTCCAAAAATCAGTAAGCCATGGATCTTAGATTTACCAAATCGCATTTAACATGTTTCATAAAAATATTATTTTATTCACGATTAAATATTCTCGTATTTTCCATGTTTTGGTTCTAAGAATGCAAATTTTGAATTGACGGAACTAACTTAAATCGGTTTAACTAATTTTTATCTGTAAACAATCTTATTCATTAGATAAAGCCTCTGGTTCTGTCCTGAATGGCCTGTACACATATCCCCATTCTCTTTGATGTCTGATTTGAATTTTTTCGCTAGTAATTCCATCTACTCCAGCTTGATTCTCAACTGCAACAGCTCCCTCAATCTGTAACAATCATAATACACCACTTGTTTTATAAATGTAAAAAACTCCAGCTGATGAAATATTTGTGCATATTTTGGACATTTATTCTCAGCTTAAGTGCAACTTACCCTTAAAATCTAAAAATTTCTATTGAACGGGGATTTTAATCCCTTCATATGTTTATTTATTGTTCAGAGTTTAAACGTAGGAGTAGACTCAACGGACAACGGTAAAACAAAAATCTACAGAAAAGTCCCCCCGTGATAAAAAGGAAAAACAACCCATACATGTAAATATTTTTTCAATGAAATACTTTTCAATGTTTAATTTTCAATTATGTTAGTATTTACTAGACAGTCCATGATTTTTAATTTCTTCTTGATTTATTCCCGCTTTTTAAAGCCAGTTTAAAAAAAAACGCAACCAATATCAATACATAGTTCTTCCAACCAGCTGCTAAAATAGGTTCTTTAACAGAAATGGTTTCCAGGTTATAAGAATTTAAAACAAATGTTGATCATTTACTTTATTTTTTTGTTAATCTATTCAACTCAGAACTGTTAGGATAAACGGATGAGAATATTTTGATTTCGAAAGTATACCTGAGGATTGTTTGGTGGAAACTGCCTGGAACCAGAACTACTTAATCTCCAGTAGCCTTCATTCATACCATAGAACCTGAGATAGGCATCGGCATTAGCGAGACTCAACACCAATCACGCTTTAATCCAGAGGTATATTTCTAATAATCTTTTCAATCATGTATTAGGTTTGTTGGTTCCGCTTGTAATAATCTTCAATGAGATACTTCTTGAAAATATTAAAATTATTTTCAGCCGACAGATGGAAAAAAAACTTTCCAACTTAAACTCCAATCATTCCCCTCCTCCATCTTCAAAAATCTTTGCTTTTGATCATTGCCTTGTTTTTTAACATGAATATTAAAAACGTATATCAAACCTGTCATTATCATCAATATTTTGAAAGTCTCTGTAGGGTTTAGCGTTTCTTATCTTGACGTTCAACCCTTTAATGGCAGCATCATCTTCAAAGAGGGATATTTCTCTGAAAAAAAGCTAAATTAATTGATTCAAATTTTCTTCTAACTGACCCAACTTATGTTCTCCGAAAAAGTCGTATTTTCCTATTGACAAAAAATAAAATAAAGAAATTTTAGTGTCGTTTTATCACACTATGTAAGTGCCTTAGTTAGATTTTATTCAGAGGCATTCTAGAACTAATTTTGATGTACTTTTAAAGAGAAAAATCGAATCCGGTAAAAAAATAAGCGTAATCTAAATCACAAAAAAATCAAGTCTGAACATGAAAAAATTGTGATAACGACAGAAATTAATTTTCTGAGACATACAAAACTTCATATTTTCAAATAGTTTTAGGAAATAAAAAATGGTTAAATTAAATTGCTATTACTTGTCTGGTATTTTCGTCCATTCTCCCACAATATTCTCAAGTTTGGGACACTGTAGAACTGCATGTTGGAGAAGAACGTTCAAGCTCGACTTGGTTAGGAATCCTTCTTCAACAAAATGATCACTATCCATTCGTATAGTAAACTCTCTCAGGTTCTGTAACGAGTTGGCCTCTAACAAACCAGATATCCAGGTATCATCGAAAGCCATTCCTCCAGAAACCATTTCATTTGGCAAATTCTTTACACTCAGGGTTTCAAGGAGGTCTGCGGAGGCAACCAAAATTTGCATTATCTTCAAATTTATTCGTCCAGTCAAATCCAGATGCCGGAGAGATTTCCAAGGATATTTTAGAACCTCGAGTTTCCAGTATGTCCAAGGAGAGTCGATATTTAACAATGTTCCTCCTATATCCCGATTGTGATTTGTATGGTTCTCTATAACTGCTCGATCTACCGTGTTTTCTACTGAGAAACAACCATCAAGTTTCTGCAAACACACACAATACCTAGAAATAGATCAGTTTGTTTATTTACTTTGGTTTGTAAGAGTGAGAGAGGCACACCAGCAGAAAGCTTGTGTCTTAGGTAGTAGTACTAGTAGGTATAACAGGTGGTGCTTTAAAGAATAAGATTCTATAGGGACCCTGCATCAGAGCATATAGTTAATTAATTGAGAATATTGGAAATACAAATTCTGTTTATAAAAATTGGCAATTGGCAAAAATTATTATTTACTCCTTGTTGTGTCTTTTTTGACAGCTTTAAGCTTGTAAACTTATTTACTTTAAAGACAAAGGACATCTTTATCAGACAAACTAAATGGAATTAACTTTCACGAAATTTTATAATAACCAAAACAGAACTAACCTCCGGAGTAATATAAGATCATATGTGTGCAAAATATGTGTAGAGCAGTTGAGATATGTCAGCTTCTGTCCACTCTGAGAGAAGTAGGAATTAAAACAGGAAAATTTCATACTTCCTGTCAATTTCTTGAGTTTTGAAAACTTCTTTAAAAAATCACAGACTGCCCCATCCGCAATATGCTGATCCCGTTTACAGGCATCGCTGAGGATAGCGGTGGAAACTCCCTTAAGCTCCAAGATATTAGGACAAATTGTAGCGAGCTCGTTCAACTCCGACACCTCAAGCTGTTCCTCTGGACCCAAAAACAGTTCCGTTAGGTTAAGCACAGTTTTTGTCCGTTCCTCCTCAGATAGGAGCTGTGCTAATCTAGCAACAACAAGTGGAGTAAACCCGACATTAAATTGCTGCAGATTTTTTAAATATATCAGGAAGACATAGAACCCGACTTCTAATGCAGGACCAACAACATTCTTGTTGGCTTTTGCTCGCGACACTAGTGGTGGAAAGACTATATCTCCGAAAAGTCGAAACTTTCGGAGTTTGGTACATCCGAAAGATGTTGGAAAGGTTTTGATCAGTTTCTCACATTGTTTAGGAGGAAAAGGACGTTTGGCTAAGCATGGCGGAGTAAACATCATAGAATCTTTGATATACCACTCCCGAGGTGCACCAAAATCTTTCTGTAGATAGAGGGCATTCTCCCAGGGACCATTGAAACCTTGATCAGATTGTTTAATTGATCTTCCAGAGATTGCAAGTAATCCTTCCTCTGTTACATCTTGAGCTAGCTGGACCTCCAACTCACTAAGATTCCTAAAATTGCATTAATATTTTTTCGTCTTGTTTTTTTTATTTAAATGTGGAAGCTCATTTTTTTTATTTCAAGCTACATAAATAAAGATAACCATTAACCACTCTTTTTCTTTTAACTATTTCCATCCAAGTATGAACTTTAAACTAAACTTTAATAAAGTTGTTGAACCTCCAATATTAGTTTAAAAAGACTCATTAAACTCATTCAGCTTCATATACTGAATCCTAAATATTAGTATTACCTGCAGTACACTGAGATTGCCCTTAGTATCAGGTCATTGCAGAGAGAGAGAACCAGCCTGCTGAGCTTGCAGCTATGTTTGAAGGTTGATATCAGCAAGGACTGAAAAAAAAGATAAAATAATAATTATTTTAAAATTTTAAATAATTTTCTTTATCTTTAATAGAATATTACTTCGGATTGTTTTGACCAAAAAGCAGCAGCATTGGGTTTCTGAAATCGTTGCCTGCATGATACAAGCATATCCAGAATGAAGTATTGCGCCTGATATTTATCCGGAATCTCCCAACTAGTCAGAGAAGGACTGGTTAGCATACAGAGAATCATCAGCTCAACGCCCATCCGTCGGCGGTTATCATACCTGAAATCAAATACAATTAATTTTTTCCAGGGGAAGAAGTAATTCCAATTTTTTATTCCCCCTTCCCCCGCCCTCTAATGTTTTTGGATTTCCTTCCCCAAATTCGATAACTAAAAGGATATAATTTTTTAATATTTATATTGTAGTGTTATTGTGGCAATGGCAAAAAAGTTGAGATTGATTATTTGTATGAGTATATGGTTTCTTGGAATTCATTTCCCATCATTATACTTAGGGGGTTGTCTTCTTATACTTCTCCAAGTTCCCAAAATTAATTTTTTTTCCATTTGTAGGTTTGACTATTTGGAAAAACTATTGAATAGTAAGTATTCTTTTATCATAATTTTTAACACGTTTTTTTATGCTGCATTACAACTATTGGGGAAAAAGACTCCCTTTCCTTCACTTCTTTATCTGCCAACCTTCCATTTATTTTCTATCTTTCCTTCGGTCACCTTCCCTAACTACCCTACCTTCCCAATACCTTCCCCTTACTTTCCCATTCAACTTCCCCTCCTTTCTCCTTCCCTGTCCTTTCTGTAGTTCCCTAACCCCTATATTCCTTATTCCCTATCAACCTTCCCCTTTACCTCTCAATCTTCCCCTTCCCTACTTTTCCTCTTGCCCACTTATCTCCTTCCCTAACTATCCCATTTCCAACCTATCCCCTTCCCTACCTATCCCTTTCCCGACCGGTACCCTTCCCCTTCCCTACCTATCCCCTTCCCGACCTGTACCCTTCCCCTTCCCTACCTATCCCCTTTTCGACCTGTACCCTTCCCCTCCTCTTGGGTATTAGAATTAGGGTGAATTTTAAACACTCCTGAATTTTTTTGCTGTAGTATTCTTACTATTTTTAAAAGATAAGATAAAGACAAGAGAAGGCAGCAATTGAACTTTTCTTCCCCAAGGTAAAAGGGTGTCTTAATATCTTTTCTTCAGGACCAAAAAGTTTTAGGGCTTACAAGAATTTTTATTCTTATCCAAAAAATATCCACCGACACCAGGTTAACAATAAAAATATTGGCCCAATTTTACCTATTAAATATATCTAATGCGAGATAGAAGAGATCATTGAGAACCGCATGAACCGAGTTCTCCTGCAGATATTCTCGAACCTGCAATAAATTAAGATCACGTGTTTCATTAATCTAAATTCTTTTTTATTTAATACTAATAAATAAAATAACTTGAAATTTTTCTTATTTAAATTTTAATGTTAAATTCATAATTGTTTTTACTAGGTTCTTCTGGGATCCAGATCCGTGGATCCGCGTGTTTTTGCAGATCCGGATACGATGAACCAAAAAAGTTGCGGATTGGATCATAAGCAAATTCATAACAGTTAGTATTAATTCTGTTCCGAGTATTTTATCTTTTTCTTTCGAAAGTCAGATTAGTTTCTTGTTCTATAATTAAGTCGCCAGAACATAATCGGAACTTAGTATTAGCAGATAGTCTGCATATTTACATACTCGCAGAACCTAATCGGACCTTAGTATTAGCAGATAGTCTGCATATTTACATACTCGCAGATAAAGTAACTACAAACAAAAATATTCCTGCGATATAAAACAATCGTTTTTCAATTGATAAGGAAACAACTAGACTGGTTTTACCTGCTGAATGAAACTGTTGAGATATAGATAATCCCTGTTCCAAACAGGTCTGGTCACCTCTCCTTGGATCCCTCGAAGATAGAAATTTTTCCCGCCAGATTTGTCTCCGAGGGAATACTCAAGCTTGAACCCTACTCTGTGAAGATGTTTAAGAAGAGAAAGCTGGCAGATTAACTTCAAGGAATCTGTTTTCATCCCTACTTGAGCTCCGGATACTTCTTAAATATTTAAAAATTATTTTTGCATTCCTCCAATAAATCAAGTCAGGTAAATAAAACGTTTCTGACACAGGGGTTATTTATTTTAATATTTCGTGGTGGCGGGGATAGTTTTACTTTAAATAACAATTTCTTTGCAATTCTTTTTTTCGAAAATTCAGTTATTCCAATTTTCTTAATCTAATTACATGAGAATTAGGAAAAGCTAAAAATTTCTCAGACGACTTTCATATTTTAATGCCAGAAGATTGGTCTGGATATAGAGACCGGGGTTTCAGGTCGTCATGAAGTGTAATCCTGTAAAAAGGCTCGAATCTATATCCAAAGTAACCAAACATGGAAAAACTTCTTCTTTAAAGTTTCACCAGATAAAAAATTACTATTTTTTAATATATTAAACATAATTCACGAAAAATCAAAAATTTTCTGTTTCTTTTATGACTAATACCTGAACGATCTGAGGCCATTTTTGGTTTTCACGTAATAAACGTGTCTATGTTTACATCACATATTTTTATCACATTCACAGTTAACTGTGCAACAGGGAAATATGAAGGTTCAGTGCTATGTAGTTGAGCGGATATTCTGATCACTGGGTAGTGGGTGTGTATAATCGAAGATGAATATATTCCATGCAAACACATTCAACTAGTTCAGCAGAATCCTTACTATCTTGTTCAATTAGTTCTTTCTTTATCTGGCTGAAAACTGAACAAAGTTCTCACTATTTAGTCAGAAATCCGTTCTTCCGGAGAGAAAGGATATTCAAGATCCTCGTTCCTAACATCAAGATTATTTTCTCGAGCAAAATCAATAATTCTAAAAAAAAGATTATGAATAATTCAATGCCCTAGGTTAGATTGTTCAATGTTCGTATTTCAAAGATTTTTTTTTCAATAAAAGCGAGTTCCAATGATCTAGCAGAAGTTGAAACTTTTGGATAAAATAGCGCTAACCTCCATCAATTAAATTTTATACACATTGTGACAACTATTAAATTGGAGAAAAATGTGCTTAATTCCTTCATTTTAGTTTTCCGATTAATTTGCAGGTCTGCTGCTTATCTATTTATTATTTATCCCGAGATTCACAAGTTCTGACCTCGGCCCAAATTACTGATTAAAACATTTGGAAGAGTTTTAGTATGAAATCATTTGAATAAGAAAACACTTATTAGTAACAACTTTCTAATTATTATTTCCCAAAAAATACATATTTTTATTATCCTTAAATAGAAACCGGTGATAAAATCCTAAAACGCACTTGATTTGAAGACAGATAATACGTAAAATTTACCTGGAATATTGTCTCTGCATTGTTTCAACACGCTCCCGAATCCTCTGGTTCTCCTGCTCCAAGTCCCTTAACTCATCCAGCTCATGGTTTCTCTCAGATTCAAGAGTAGATATCTCTGCGTCTTTCTTTTCTCGGCAACTTAAGTTAATATTTTTTTAAAATAAATAGATTAACAAAGAAAAGAGGAAAATTTTAAGTAGGTGAGAAATATCTTTAAAGTATTACACCTTTATTTTAAAAAATATATTTTATTTGTAAAAAGGTGTAAAAGATAATTTTGTTATTTTAGATCAAAGGCTCAAAGCCCCTCACAACTTAATCAACAAAGAGTGCTATGTGCACAACCATGTAAGTAGTGCAAGCGACTGTAATAATCTGTGCACATACATAACAATATAACTTTTAACATCAAATGAAGAAAAACTATGCAGCATAGAAAACAGTTTATTAAAAGTTAAAACACTATGAAAGACAACCCGTCTGTGTGAAAATTTCATTTTTTAAGTTTGTTAATAAAATGAAAGGACAGAAAGATATGCCAGTTCAAATAATCTGGCTAAAATTAAGATTGTAATGCAAACATTCCAAATATTTCCAATACGCTTTGGAATTACGATTTTATCTCAAAAAATATATAAACACTTATCAATATTTGTCCAAAGCAAAATAAAAGACAATAATATCCAGATTAGAAATGGATAAAAAAGAAATAGAAACTGCTCACAATTTATATTTTTATTTTAAAAAATCAAAATTAGAAGGAAGATAATCAGAATCCACAGCAGATGAATCTCTCCTACCACAAGTTGATCCTCTAGGACGACCTCTCCTACCACAAGTTGATCCTCTAGGACGATCTCTCCTACCACAAGTTGATCCTCTAGGACGACCTCTCCTACCACAAGTTGATCCTCTAGGACGACCTCTCCGACGTCCTCGACTTCCTTCTTTGAAACCTTGAAGTCTGTCAGACTTTTCCCATCCTTCTAGGATTACTTCCCACTCTTGACTACACATATTCCATCTATTGGGACCTTAAGGATGGTTGTTTCCCCTGTTATTCTTGGCTGGCCGCTAATAAGGTCGATACTGGTGAAGGGCAAGCTCAAAACTTTCTTTTTCCTTTGGTTTACTACTTGCCAATTTCATTGCTAACCTAACAAGAAATAAGTAGTTATCCACAGTTTTTTCTTTGATGAATGCCTCATGAAATGGAGATCCAAATATTGTAGTTCGAACAATGCCAGATTTGATTGAATCTTCAAAAGTTCACTTAGCCGATCTAACATCAGAAGCACCTGGACTGCCACCTGGACTGCCACCAAAACGGCCACCATGACGGCCACCAGGACTGCCACCAGTTTTAGAATTATGTCGCCTTTATACATGATAACTCGTTTGCTATCCAATTTGGATCTGTAGGTCATTAAATTAAGAAAACCTTAGTTTTCTCAAAATTACGCACATCAAATGAAAATGCACTTTACTTTAAAATTCTACTGTAAAAATATACCTCGTAGCGTAGTTTCTATTTTTCAGGGTTCTGCGTCTCTGCTTCAGTCTAATGGCGAGCTCTCTGGATACTCCCTGATCTTTGATTTTCTTGTTCAGCTCTTTTATTTCAATATTTATTAAATCCTAAAAAACAACAATTCTACAGTTAAGAAGCAAAATTCAGAAACTTTTCAGGAGTTAAATAATCAGACGTCATATTATTCAATGTTCTCTTGTTCAAGCTCGTAATATTTTTTAACCGAGAATTTTGGATTAGGTCGTCAGAAAACGCAATGTGCAATAAGCATGGCATTGTTTTAAGTTTCTCTTATGGATCTATACTTTACACCCTTATCTAATTCTTTCCCCAGAGTTTGGCTTAAACTTTAAATAAATATACGGAAAATATATGAGTTTTCAGTTTGTAGAAAACCTTTTTTTTTTGTTAATTGTTTCAGTGATCAGTGATATAAATATTATTATCTACGCTACATAATGAACGACTTTTGGATCATTTTATAATGACCACTAATTTTCACCAAAATTATCTTTAATTATGTTGCATTATTTTAGAGTTGGGGTTGGTAGGACAATTTCTGATCCGATTGCTGCGACTAGGACAGGCTAGGGGGCCGAGCGCTGCGACTAGGACAGGATAAGGGGTCGAGCGCCGCGCCTATGACAGTCTAGGGGGCCGGGCGCTGCGGCCATGCATGACCAATTTGATCCATATGTGCTACATATGAGATCCATGCACAAAATTGATAGGAGGGGGGGGGGGGCAAAAATCGTACTATAGGGAATTACCCAATTATAATCTTAAAGGTTAATCAAGGTTACCTCATCGCTGATGACTCTCGAAGCCTCTGCATCTGGCCTTAACTCATCTTCAAAATTTGACATGTTTCCTTCAAACGTGCATAGCCAACGCCTTGAATTATAGGATTTAACTGTGATCTAAGGCTGAAAAGACAACACTAAGTAGTACTCTTGCATTGTCATTAAACAATTTGACTGTGTTCAGAAATCAGCTGCAGCTGCGCAGAACTATATGTTTACAATGTTAAAGTATTTCTTTGCGCAGGTTGCTCACAAATATGATATAGCGGTATCATCGGAATAACATTTCATGATTTCTGTGGTGTATTTTTCGACCTACACATATCCGCCATACTGTACTTCTGACCTACGCCAAATACGCTATACTACACATCCGACCTACTAGCACATGGTATTACAGCTGCTATATTGACTTGTGGCCGCAGCGCCCGGCCCCCAAGCCTGTCATAGCCGCGGCGCTCGGCCCCCTATCCTGTCCTAGCCGCAGCGCTCGGCCCAGAAATTGTTTTAACCTAACCTAACCCTCAAATAATACTAAAATAAACAGCTGGCGTAGGTCCGATATTGCAGTAGGTCGGAAAGTTAGTAGGTCAGAAGTTCAGACCCCCCCCTCCAGCAGGAATAGGGTTAAATTTGTTTACACCGACCGGTTTTTTTTACCGTCCTGCATTCTACCCTATGCATCACAAAAATTTCAAAAAAAATCTTTAAAACACTATACATTAAGCCTATCATGGTATGGGGGGGAGGGGGTGTTTTCCAGCCCCACCTGTGGCTTTTTTCTAAATAACTGACATAAAAGGGCTGACATTAGAATACTAAAACTTTTTCACTAACTTCATAGTCGTGAACAAATTTAGCAAAAAAAAATATTTTATGTATATGGTAGGGTGGAGTACAGTTTCTAAAAAAAATCAGAAATGGTAAATATTTTTTTTTATTAATTAAGCTACAGACAGGGCTAACATTTATATATTTAAAAAGCCCTTGAAAATAGATGTATATGTGTTACACATGTTAATATTTGTCAGAAGTAAAAATTATAATTTTTGAATTTTTTTCCGACGTACTTTTGTACTTTTTTAAAAATCCTCCTTTGCACCCTTACCATTAAAGATAGAGGTATAATTTTTTTAGCAGGGACTATGGAGTGGACATTCTATCAGGCGTGGTTCCTAGCTTGGCGGAGGGGGGGATAGATAAAACTCCTAAGATGACGACAAGAAAATTTTAGAAATTATAAATTATGAATATAAACATTAGACAATATTTTTTCAAAGTTTTGCAGAGTAGCTTTTCTAAAGATTTAAATTAGATTGTTACATCTTTTTCTTCTTAGAATAAAACTATTTTTTATATGTTACTTAAAATAAATTAAAACGGCGCACCCATGATATATTTGCTTTTGAATGCTGTTAAGTTAGAGGAATGTAGCGTTAATTCTAGATTTAAAAGACATCGACGGCATCAATTTATAGCCTGTGACATATTATAATCATACTTTTTTGGTATAATTGTAAACATTCTCGCTCCATGGGGCAATGTTAAATTTTTGTTTAAAACTGTGATTTATTCAAAATTATAATATTAAAAATGTTTTAGAAGGTACATATCGAAATTCAATCTTTACCAAAAATACCACAGTTTTCACTTTTGAGTGCACAATATTCTGTTTTAAATTATCTCAAATTATAAGATATAGATAGATAGAAAAGAGATTTAGATAATTTTAATCCGAATTGCATTCAAAAATGGAATTTCTCTCTGCGCCTTAAAGCATTTTTAGAGAAGTCAAATAACGATCAGCATGTGTAGAGGCCGGGGGCACTTTTTGCTTGCGTCAGCATGCAAAAAAATCGTTTTGCCCCCCCGCCCCCTTAAAAACTCCTTTTGTGAAAAATGTTGATACCTTTCTTATAAACTTGTAAACTATTCGATTATACACACTTCATAAGTGTTAATAAATTATTCATGTAATTTTCTTAAGTGGACTCATCAGACACGTGCAGTTGTAAGGTTATCAAGGGGTGAAAAAGATATGGAAATGTTTTTTTAAAAATGTCTGTATTTTAAAGAAACGATACATATTGTATAATTATAAATAATGATATCACTGATATATTTACACATTACACAAGGATTGATTTAAGCTTTTTTAACAATTAACATTTTTAGTTACGGGCAAAAGTGAGATTTTAAAGTATTTTTATATGGATCCCCCCCCCCCTCGTATACGCCTGTGTATCAGCCGGCACTTACAAAATATTATATATTTTAATAGAAATTTTGCTGGAAGATATATGGGTGCGGCTAAGGAAGCGCTACGGGTGAGTGCGTTGACGCAAGTCTATGTTTGTGAGTAAATTGCGAGATGGAGGCTATACATCTAGGTGCAACCTAAGCCTTCCATGGCCCTCACTGCATGAATTGCAAAGAATATTGAAATTGTCTCCTCCTCCTTTTTTTACAATTAATA